TATTCAGCAAATTGGTTCCTCAAGCAGACATAAGCAGTCATAGGTCAGAGTAGAATATCCTATTCTGTAATGCCCTATAAGTAATGCAGAGGTATCTGAACATACCCACTCCTCTCTCCTCAGCCCAATGAAAGTTTATTGTATTTCTTAGCTCCCCATCTCCTTTGTCCCATGTGAGTAATTCTGCCACTTCACACTGAATTCCTCCTAGATATGTTTAACTCCACATCTTTTATTATGATAGGAGTGGAATGACCTGGTAAGCTGGACAAAAAAAAGAGAAAAGGCCTGGTAGGAAAATGAACTTCAGAGCACACTCTAGTAAGAGAGGGCTGGGCCCCTCTGCAGACTCGATTCAGAAGCTGTGTGAGGGAAAAACAGAAATTTAGTGGAAAGAGAAATCATCTGCAGCAGTCTCTGCAGCACATCCATGTGCACCAGTGGTGCTATAGTGGGTAGATTTCAGTCATTCCAAGACACTGAAGAGGTCTTGTGCTGCCCAAACAGAACCACACCTGAGATAGAAATCGCCTGGTCTGAGTTAGTAAGCTGTAAAAATGTCAATTCCAGGAATGACATAGGGTCAAGAAATGGAGGATCTAGCTGACTTTGATCAAACAACTTACCAAGATTTCTAGCAATAATCTATTGCTCATAGGGGGGCTGAGATATCCTGAGGAGTGTTCCATTTTTATGTATTTCCCATGCAGGGGTAGGAGACCTGAAAGACAGTGAGTGCATCTCCAGTTTGTTGTTCTGCCATCACAGCCTCTGAGTAGATGTCTTGATTCTGCTGGAGTTTAATTTCTAGCACTACTGATTGATGACTCCTTAACTAGGCTAGTACAGAACAATGCAGCTTCTGATTTGCTTGTCAGCAGCTGATTAAAAACAAACCCTGGGAATTAAATACGAAGCACATTTTTGTCCCAAGATTATGTCCTCCTAGAACACCCTTCTTCTGTCTTCTAGTGTCTTACTTAGTTGTTATGTTATCAAGCTTTCGTCTTTTAAAATCCCCTCAGAGGTCATTAGTGACAGCTCATTGAATACCTGTTTAGGATCAGAGTAGGTTTTAGAATGCACTTACATGGGGATTGAATTCACTTACTGCCATGTGACTTGGTATTTGCACAAGTAACCAAGGAGTAGAGCTCCTACTTCATACCTTACCCCAAATCTCAAGCTGACTGAACAATTGGATTTACTAGTACTCTGAAAGTAGGAATACTTTCTTGAATCAATGTTGAAGTTTTAACTTTTGAAGTGTTTTCAGAGCCTCTCAGAGGAAAATCGTGTACATGTATACATGTAATCCAAACCAGACTTCTAGAACTGTGCAAAGCTGAAAGAAATGATTACCCCAGCGGTCCTTTTATGAAAGAGTATTTCTCTGAATGCTTACTTTTATAGTAATAGTTTTGTTTTATCTATGTATGTTATAGGAAATTCCATAAGAAATTGGGTCAGCAGGCTTGGCTGGTTGCTGCCATTACTGCCACGGAGTTTCTGATTGTTGTGAAGTACGATCCCTATACGCTCACACTGTCTCTTCCTTTCTACATTACCCAGTGCTGGATCTTAGGGATTATACTCGTGCTCACATGGACAGCCTGGCGCTTTTTTATTCGGTAAGAGGTGTTTGGTGTGCTCTGTGCAGGTCTGGCCTGCGTCTTCGGGGGAAATGTTTGGACGTCTGTTCAGCAGCATGTTGGATGTCGAGTATAGGCTGTCATTAGCCTTCAGTGCCCCCTGAAGGGACACTACAACTCTTTTGGATTAGTAGAGCTACAGTGTTTTTCTCTTAAGAATTGTTAAACAAGGAAGGAGTTTTCCATGTGTGGTCATGGCAGCTTTCCTTATGGGAAACTGGTAAGCTCTGGTCTTTGTGGGACTGCATACGTTACTGTTGCTGCAGAAGCAGATGAACAGTTTAATGCCTGACTGCATCTGACTGCCCTGGCTGAATGGGGCAGCCTCTGAGATCCATGTTTTGTTTTCTTTTGTGCTGTCATTTGGATGAGTCTGAGTTGTTTTACAGCTTCATTGCAAGAACAGACTGCTGCATTGCAATTGTGTGAGCAACAAGTGAGCCAACTTCTATTGGGTTTGGATGCTGTTCTGTGCAGATAAAAAAAAAAAAAAAAAGAGCAAAAACAGCAGCACAAGGCTGAAATGATTATGGTGATCTCTGGTGCAGTAGCAGCACTCATTGATCTTGACCATGCTGGAATGATTCTGAAAGAAGTGAAAATAGCCAGACTGCTGCAAGTAGTTTGTAGTAATTCAAGTGAATCAACACCATCGGCAACTTCAGAAATGTACAGCCAAAATACACAAATGGTTTAGGTATCCCAAGGGCCCTGGCATCTGGATCAGAGTTCCCTTATTGTTTTCATAGTATGTTGAAACTGTTTATTCACATCACTGATACATCTGCTTTTCTTTTTAGAGATATCACGTTGCGGTATAAGGAGATAAGGCGACAGAAGCAAGAGCACAAGTATGAAAAGGACAAATGCTTGAGCAATGGGGATGGACATTCTTCAATACTGGATGAACAGAATGGGAGCAAACTAAGGGAAAGGAGACTTTGAGCAGTGGTCAAAGGGCTGAAAAGAACTCATAGTGCTCAGGTTGGCCTGGTGGACAGTTTCAACCTTATCCTACCTAACTTGTAATTTTCACTGTTAGTTTTCCAAGGTGTGAAAATTGTTTTGAGGAGATGATGTCCCTTTGACATGCACACCCTTTCTAGTCACATACACCTAGTCAGAGTCAGAGAAAGTCTGTGTAGAGGGAAGTCAGAACCAACGCCGCTGCAGCGAGGTGGGATCTTCATCCAAGTGTGTTGCATGCCTTCCTTGCAAAACAAGTTCTGGAGACAAGGGGCTTTAAAACAAAGTGCAGAGGAAATCTGGCCGATCTATTTTCAGTTAACTGTGGGATTTCTATTTTGACATTTGGGCATTAGGAGCGCATGGCACAGGAAATGAAATCTGTCCTTTGCTGAAACCACCTTGAGGTGTGGAGTCAGGTTATATAATATGTTCAGCCACCCGTTGACAGAAATGCAGTGAGATAAACTGAAGCATGTGAACAAGTTGCGTTACTTGCACAAGATGTAATGCAGTACACTACTGTTACAGCCCCTCTGGTGTGGGGGTTATTGCCTTTCTCTAAACTGACTTTCAATGTCCTGGAATAGCTTACAATAATTTTATGTTTTATCACAGCTCTAGGGAGACAGAAGGCTTCTCCTTAGGCTTTTCTGTTTGCTTTTTTTTTAATCCTGGTCATCTCTTAAAGGTAAGGGAAGTTTAAATAAGAAAGGTCAGCCTGCCTTCTGTTTGCTTCATGGAGTAAAATCTATTATTAACAGAAAAATGGGAGTTACTCCATCAGTCTTAAGTTATTTGCCTTATTCTCAGCTCTTTTACATTGCTTGCCAAGAGGATTTCATTCTTGGTGTCTGCTGTGCAAAGCATGTCCTGATCTGCCATCCTTCACAGCTGTCCCGTTCCTCCTAAGGTAACTATGGACTAGCAATCTCCTGAGTCCAACTGGAAAAGACATTCTTTGCAGTCCTGCACAAAACAGCTGTTACCGTGCTGCCATTGCTGCCAAAAGACCAAACTGAGGGGAGCTGCATCCAGTCTTCCCTGAGCAGCACGTAGCAGTGGAGATCTGCAGGCCAAACTAGACAGCGTTTTTGCTCATGACTCAGCATCTAGGAAAAGAAATTAGAAGCTTGGGCTGAGTTTTTTTCAGGGTTGTTATTCCAAAATGTAAGTGCTGCAACTGGGCATCAGTTTTGTAACCCATGCTCTAAGCCTTTGCATTGGCCTCTAAGGCACTGATGTAACCGTATCTCTGTTAAAGTACAGTGATCTAATCTGGCTGTTGGAAGATGTTTTTCAGGGACGTGTTTATCCTGAAGGAAATGATACAACACCAGTAACACTTAACAAGGATAGCCCCCAAAATTCTAAGTGGCAGGAGACTTGAGATGCTGCTGGATAGTAAACATCCACATTTCAAATCCTTTTTGGTTGCGCATGGAGAGCCACCAAAATAAATCTGCCATTTCTCTTAGGTTTACGGAGTGACCTACATGTTTTCTGACCCTGAAGAACGGACACTTAGCAATAGCGCAGTCTTCAATGAACAGAACAGTTTGGTTGCATCTGAAGAGCTCAACAAATGAAGGAGATTTGATGGGCCCTTGGGCTGCCCCAGTTGCTTAGCAGACAGAGAGGAGGATGACCGTTTTGAGAATGAAGCATCCAGCTTTGTTCTTGAGAACGTACAGTTCACTGTGGCTGCTCTTAAACCATGGTATTTTGCTGCTGTGAGGTAGTGAAGAAGGCTGTGTAACTGGGTGCTGACAAATGTATAAATGGGCAGAGAGTGCTGAGTTGAGTAAGTATTTATTTGTATGCTGTTTCAGCCCAAGTCATTCTCATTTCTGGCTTTCCACCGTTCTTACTAACTGTTAACTGATGATTGGTAGCTCGTACCAGTGTGTTGTGCTTGTGCAGTCCCAGGCTCAGGTCAGTATATTCCTGTTCCTTCTTTGCTGATAAACACTGTGGTCCCCCTCTGTCTCTTTGCAGTATGTCCATCAGAGTCTGTTTTGTGAGTTGGGTGGTAACAGGCACACTGAGGAGGATCTGTCGCTGTACCTTCCTCCTCCTCCCCACCCTGCCAAAGACACACTGAGGTGCTTCACAAACAACTGCTGAAGAAGCCCTGTTCCCCAGTAACAGTTCTGGAGCTTTGAATTAATACATAAAACACTGACTTTGTTTACTTCCATTTTATCAGCTTTTATGGTTAGTCTGGATAACTGAACCAGTGTAATAAAGCAATGTTTGCTGGTGTTGTTTTGGTACAGTGTGTGTGTGCTCCTGCTTCATCTCGCTTGTCACTTCGCAGGGACCGAGGGCACTTGGTCTGAATTCCCTTTGGTACGAAAACTATCAAAGGTTTCTATGCCTTAAGGTAATTACCTTGTCCAGATGCTCAGAGAGATGGATGTTAGAAACCCTCGGTCCACGCTAGTGATTCGGGAATGCTTATTGCAGTGCTTTCACAAGGATGATCAGCAGTGCCTCGTTCAGAGCACACCTTGTGTGTGTTGCAGGTAGTAGTGACAGCCTGGCTCCTTGCTGATGATGGCACGATGCTCCATCAAACAGCCACAGAGCTGCTGGAAGGTCTCTGGGCATATTCAGCACAGCACATCCATACATATGAGGCAATGGGGTGTCCTTGCTTGCGAAGCACTGAGTCTCGTCTACATGTTCTTGACAGCAGCAGCAGCACCTGGACGGGTACTCCTTATGTATTTGTTAAGCCGGATGCAGTCTGCGGCAGTGGGCCGTGCTCCCCTGCATGTGTGTGCTAGGTGATGGAGCAGCAGTGATGCTGTTCCTGCAGGGAAGTAAGCCCAGGGAGGATGCAGCATCTGTTGGTGTTCTTCAGTGCTCCCTGTGCTGCTGAGACACTTCAGTCAGATTCTGGCTTCTGACCACTACCTGAATCACCCACGTGTTCACAGTTAAAGGCTTTATCAGTTGGTGTCACTGATGTGCTATTAGTTTATCCTAAGGCTTGAGCAAAGCACATAAGTGATAATATACTGCCATCTGCTAGCAACGTGAAGCTGATGTTTCGCAGGCTACTTGGCAGCTATGTGAAGCCAGATCCATCTTTAGATACCAAAAGCAAGTCATCAGAGGTGACCAAAATTCAGCCAGACTGATTGGGGTTGAAAGCAACGTTCTAGGGGTCAGCAAAGGATGAGACCCCAGCAGAGGGTGCTGGTGGCCTGGCCTGCCAGAATTAATGCTCTGTTGCGGTTTTAGGAGCTAGGGGAGGAAGCCAGCGCTCCTTGGGGCTGTGTATAGCAGGAGAAAGGGCTGCATTTGGTTGGGTGAGCACAGAGGCTTTCAGCAGTGAGGTGAAGCTCCTTTCCTGCTCACAGCATTTTGGGGCGACAGTCTTGGTCTGTTTTTTTTTTTTTAATTTCCAATCATGGGAGCCTTTTAAGAAAGGTCACTGGTCCCCGGGAAGGAATTATCTGGTGGGAAATGGGTGGTGAGTTTCCCAGGAACTGAGGGTTTTTTGAAGCACCACACTGCTCCCTGTGCCAGCTGAGATGTTGCCCGGCTTTTCCTTCCTCCCCAAATTGCATGCATTGTGTTGTTAATCTTTCTCCCCATTCTAGCAAAGAGAATCTCTGTGTTTAAAATACTTCTCGCTTTGGAGCTAAGGTGAGGCAAGGAAAGCTCTCTCCGTCCCTGCTGTATAGAATCAGGTGTAGGAGAGCTTTGGCTGATGCCCGGCTGGTGTTTGCCACAACGCGCAGCACCTACCAGCGAGCGGAGCTCTGAGTCTTCACTGCTGGGAGGGCTTTTGGGGACAAATCCCAGTAAAGCGTCGCTTGATGCTTTGGGATGAGGGAGAGGAGGGCTGGTGGGTTTTATTTCCGACCCCAAACGAGCCGAGAGAGGGGGAGGAGGACGGAGGTGGTTTCTCTCCCGCAGCGCCGGGGAGGGACGAGCAGCCTGGAAGCCTGCATTAAGGGCAGGCGGGGATCCAAGTATTCGGCTCCCGGGTACCGATTTCAGTCCGCGGCCCCTAAAAAGGTGGAGAGCGTCCCTTTGGGAGAGGTGGGAGGAGGGAACGCGGGTCCTCAAGCGGGGGAACATCCTGCGGGTTGCGGGGGAACAGAGCTGAAAGATGCTGGAGGTGGGAGAAGATGCGGGACTCCGGGGCTGAGGGCCGGAGCCGGGGATGATCCCAACCCGAGGAAGGGGCGGGGGGAACAGCAGCCGGTCCCGATGCGGGGCCGGGGGCGGCCGGGGCCTGCAGGGGGCGGGCGGCGGGCGGGGCCGAACCCCCCCAGGTGCAGCCGGGCCGCCCCGCCCGCAGTCCCCGCTCCGGCTGCCCCGACCGCCATCACCATCACTAGCTCGGCTGGAAAATGAGCTTTTTCTCCTCAAAGCGGTGGTGAGTGAGTCCCAGTTCTCGGTATGGCGGCAGGGGGAAGAAAGAAAGGGAAGGGAGGGGGGAGGGGGCTTGGGAGGTCGTGTCCGCGGCATCCCCACGCAGGGGATGCGCGCTGCCGGGGTTTGCCCGCAGCGGCGCCCTCTGTGATTTTGGGCTGTGTTTCGGTTCCCCTTCCCGAGTTCCTCGCCATCCTTCCGCCGCCCCGCAGCATCCCCGCGGCGGGGAAACCTGGATCCTGCTCTGCCGGGAGGACATCGGGAGATGCTCCCCGTGTGGGCCGCGGTGCTGAGACTGCCCGGCTCATCGCACTTGTGAGCGGGCACCGAGGTGCAAAACTCAGCATCACTTAGCAGATTTCCAACGTAGAACCGCGGAGCTACGAACCCACAGCGGGGTGTACCGTACAGGTATTGCCCATAGAGCCCCACATCTTCAAAGGGCGTAAAATTGGGGCAGCCGGGGGGCTCTGCAGCAGTAACGTCGGGAGTCTGGGGCTGAGCGCGGCTGAGGGATGGAGCCCAAAGCCCGGCGTTACGTTTGGGATTTATTTTTACTCGTAGTTTTGTTACCAACCAACCCACCGGCAAACTTGATCCTACTTTTCCTCCTGGCGTACTGAGGGTGAGATGGGGCTTTGTTCCTCTGGTAGGAGGGAACGGTGAGGGATGGAGGAGGATGGGGTGTGGGGACGAGCCGGGCACGGAGCTGAAGGAGAGGGCAGCCAGGGCTCAGCCCGCCCCTCGGTCCACAGCTGATGACTTTGGGGGAATGCAGCTTCCTCAGGAGGGGGTCTATAACGCCTCCTGGGTTTACTCGTGGTGCACGTAGGGTTTTGTGCAAGCAGCTTCTGGCTTCGGGTGGTCACAGGCACAAAAAGTGTTGCCCCTCCAATGTGGGGGAGATACTCCCATCCCTCAGAGGACAACACACTGCCATGTCTTTCCTTGCCTCGTCACCACAAGCAGCTGTCCCGTGCCCACTGTGGCTCCCAAAGGTGCCAGCAGCCTGATAAGGTGCTGGGATAGCATATAAGGCTGAACGTCTGCTCCTGAGCTCTCCTTGTTCCTTCTCTTCCTTGCCCAGGAGGGGCTGATGGGGAAATCCCATTCAATCTGACCTGGTGGCTCTGAGAGATGCCTCAAAAGCTGCCCATCAGCCCTTCAGGAAATGGTATCTGGGGAGAAATGCTTCGGAAGTAACTGGAGTATTTTTAAAAGGGGTGCTTGCCCTGTGGTGGAGCAGCTCATTCCCGGAAACTCATTCCTTGATTTTCCTATTTAAAAAAAAAGCAAGCAAGCACTGAAAGGAATGAAACTTCTTAAGTAAGATGGTTATCCAGCAGGTAGAAAAAAGCAGGTTGGGGTAAGTCCCCATGAGGCTGCAGTGTTTTTGGCATAGCCCACATGTGACATGAACTGAGACCGTTCTCAGCCCAATCCTTGGTGCTGTCCTGGAGTCTGGGCTGAGCAGATTCCATACGTTCATCTTTGTCCTTTTCTCCTACTTTGTCTTCTGTGTGCTCAGTAGGCTGTCCTGCTAGTGGGGAGGGTCTGCCATGGACGGCGGGCACATGGGCAGATACCGGCTGAGCGGTGAGTATGGCTGTGAGCTGCAGAGCTGGGGAGGGCTGTGTGTGTGTTTGAGCATGGAGTTTAATTTCCTGACATCAGTCTTTAAATCCCAAACTTTCCAATATTGAGCACTCTACCCTAAAAGGTGGTCGGATACAAATTGCAGCACACTGGGCTTCACACCTGGAGTTATCCAGAAACAAGAGTTGGATGGGGTTCTTTGGTCACAGTTTGGGTACAGGCGGCTGTTCCCTTCTGGCTCAGCTTTTCTGTTGAAGTGGCTCTGGGGGGCAAAGCTGCAATGGCATGTAGATGCTGCCCGGCTCTGTCTGGCCCCAAGGAAGGAGCACCACGGCATGACACAGGAGGCAGTGCTGTGGAGTCCCCGGCAGCTCTGTCATCACAAATCTCCTTTTTCTTTTCTTCCGTTTTCTTTCCCCTCCTCCTTTCCTTCTCGTTAAGCCAAGCCATCCGTGTGGCTTTAATCGCTCGGGTGATGGAGGCTGCTGCAATGCAGCAACAGCTGCTCGTGGGGCTGCCGCGTCCTGCTTTGCAGTCTTGAGCTGGGCTTTTTCCCCTCTGTATCGTCCCCTCGGAACTTGCTTTTTTTTTTTTTTTTTTCTTTCTCTCCCGCCCTCCCCCCGTTTCCAAAAGCATTTCCCCCCTCTTTTTCCTATTTGTGGCTCTTTTGATCATCCCAGGAGGCAGTCAGGTTTCCCCTATGGCACCAATTGGAATGCTGAGTATGTCTGAGGGATCCGCACCCTGGGGATGGTGCAGTGAGTTCCGGTGCCGTGGGGAGCGGAGCTGGCACATGCTCACCTCACCTCCTGGGGCTAAAATCTCAGATTTTGCGCTTGCAATTTGCTACTGAGCACCATTCATAACGCGCCGATGGGGGCAGCAGTGATTGATTCCCACAGCTAATTCTGCGGGGCGAGCTCCCGGCTGGGATACAACGTGGCCAAGCTCCCTTCCTTGGGACTTCTGACACTGTCCCTGTCCCCTTGCAGCCACCGCCAGCCCCCCGCGCTGGGAGATCGGCATCTACGTGGCAGGAGCGCTGTCGCTGCTGGGCATCGCAGCTGTCAACCTGTGGAAGCTCTGGCGTTCCGGCAGCTACCCTGCGCCTTCCCCGTTCCCAAACTATGACTACCGCTACCTGGAGCAGAAGTATGGGGCGGCGTATTCAGACATCAAGCACAAGGTAAACCATAAAAAGAATGCAGGTGGAAAGTTGGGCTTGACTCCATTCCTCTTGAGATACACGCATTGGGGCAAAGTAGGGCTTGCAGTGGGGGAATGGTTTAAGTGGGCATGATGGTCACGGGCTTATGGTTGGGCTTGCTGGTCTTAGAGGTCTTTTCCAAACTTAATGATTCTGTGATGCCATTTAGGGACATAATAATAATAATAATGATAATGCAATTATGATTTGATGGTTGGACTAGACAATCGTAATGGTCTTTCAAAACCTTTAGGATTCTGTAGTTGTGTGAAAAGCCATTATGTATCCCAAAGTGCCTTGGAGCATCTTGGCTGTCCTCTTGTATGCAGAGGGAGTGAACTCACTGCCTGCTTCTCTCTCCTGGCAGCGTGGGGCAGTGCTGGGCTCAAAGCCCTTGCCCAGCTGCAAAGCCAGCCTGAGAGGCACCAACACCTGCGAGAGCATCAATGAGCTGGGCAGCCTGGAGCTGATGAGCAGGGACCTAGGGCTGGCCCCCTACGGTCCCCTGAAGAAATCTGTCTCAGCTGACTCGCTCAACTCCGTCTCATCCATCGGGAACAACTTTGGGCAGGATTTCACCGTGGGGCAGGTGGAGGTGTCCATGGAGTACGACGGGAAGGCAGCCGCCCTGCACGTCACCCTACTGCAGGGCAAGGATCTGCTGGAGAAGGAGGATGCCCGCTTTGAATCTTGCTTCATGCGCATCAGCCTGCTGCCAGCCGAGCAGATTGTTGGCATCTCCCGGGTGAGCCCCTCGGGCTTTTCGTGGAATCCCTGAGTGGTTGCTTTGGTTTTGGATTGCTTTCCCTCTCCGCATGAGATGGGCGGCCAAAAAATTTTGCAGGATTGGGTAAAAAGGCAATGGGATGACCTTAGTATTCTCTTCCCTTTCTGTGAGCATGGCCACTTTTGGAGCAAAACCTGTTATTTAATACCCCCTTGGGAAAGCAGCACCCCCCAGGTTCCTTTTGGCACCTGCTTTTTGCAGAGGGATTTTGCAATACATTTGGGTCCCACAGCTTGATTTCATCAAACTGTTCCTGAAAAGAGCATAAAGCCTCATCCCACCGAATAAACCCACTTCTATGGGGGCGGAGGTTCCCAAAAAGGCAGTGAAATATCCTCCTGGCACCCTTTTAAGACCATTTTTACATCCAAAGATCAGGCTGAGTATTTATGCTCCAGCGATATTTATTATTTAGCATCATTATTTATAATTTACCAGCCCTATTTACCATCTTTTGCAATCTTGAGTTACAAAGACAGTATTTTTTTTTCCTTTAATGCTCTGCATTATTATTATTATTTTTTAATAATAACTTACATTTCTATAGTAGTGTTCCTACAGATATCCCCAAAATACAACATAGGCTGTGAGCTGGGAGTCATCAGTGGTATAAAGCAAATCTTCTGCCCATCTGGTTTTCCCCCAGAGGTGCTTGAATCCCTTGGGGTTGCAGGGGCTGGTCATACCATGCGTTAAAAGTGGATTGACCGCAGGGATCGTCTACAAGGATTTCAACATCGAGGTCCCAGTGGGTGTTGCCGTGGTTTTATGGTTAGTGATGGTGCTGGCTGTGGCCCTTCTCCAACTCGCTCCTCCACAGATCCAGCGTGGTGCCTATGCCGTGGCCTTCGATGAGCGCTTCTCCATCCCACTGGACCCTGTGGCACTGGAGGAGGACAGCCTGCGCTTCTCTGTCTTCGGTATTGATGAGGACGAGAGGAACATCAGCACCGGTGTGGCGGAGCTCAAGCTCTCTGACCTGGACCTGACTGTGCGTCCCTTCAATGCTTGGCTCTATCTGCAGGACACGAACAAGGTGAGGTGGGGTGATGCTCCTTGTGCTTTGGGGTTTTGGGGGTTTTCACCCATTCCCTCTGGTGGGAATCCATTCTCTGGAATCCATCTGGTGGGTGACGGCACGCTCTGTCCTGCAGGCAGTCGACACAGTGGGGGAGATCCTGCTCTCCCTCAGCTACCTGCCCACAGCCGAGCGGCTGACGGTGGTGGTGGTCAAAGCCAAGAACCTCATCTGGAGCAATGGCAAGGGGACTGCAGGTGAGCGTGGGGCCATCTCAAGGCCCCAAAGCTTTGGGTTGGACATGGGTGCTTGTCCTAGTACATCCCAGAACTCTCTGTGAGTGCTTGTTGGAGTAAAACCAGTCTGGGGACAACCCTGCTGGATTGGGATGCGGTGGGTTGGGATGGCTTTCAGCATGGCTGACACCATGGTTGTTCTCTCCCCTTGGCCCTGAGCAGATCCCTTTGTCAAAGTCTACCTGCTGCAGGATGGGAGGAAGATCAGCAAGAAGAAGACGGTGGTGAAGAGGGACGACACCAACCCTGTGTTCAACGAGGCCATGATCTTCTCAGTGCCGGCCATTGTGCTCCAGGTCTGTCCTGCTACTCCTTGGAGACCACAAACCCCTGTGGATCCAGTAAGGACTTCCTGGGATGGAATGAGAGTCGTAGGAGCTGTGGTTGTGATTCAGTGGGATGCAGTGGTATGGGAGATGGGCACATACAGAGTATGGCTGAGCATGTAGGGATAAGCCTGTATGATTTTTGGGTATGGATGATGCAGGGGATGGGTAAGTATTGGGATATTGTGTAATACATAGGGTATGGCTGCTGGGGGAGATGGGTATGTGTGACATGTGGGCGAATGCATGTGTGTGGGGTGTGCTTGTGTGTGTAGGTGGCTGCATATATGTGTTTAGGGGATGCGGGGGAAGTAAGGTGGTGAATAAGTATGGGATGGATGTATACATAAAGGCTATAGCTGTGTGTGAGGATGATGTGCATATATAGTTTTCTACTACATGGGGAGGACGTAGTGGTATGTGTATGAGCTGGGTGGGTACGTAGGGGAAAGCATACACATAAGGTAGGGCTACTGGGCTGATAAGCACGGGTAGTACAGGGGGTATGAGTGCAAGAGGGACGGTGTGTAAGTGCTGACAGCCATCACTCCATGCACCCCTGCAGGACCTGTCCCTGCGGGTGACAGTGGCTGAGAGTGGCGAGGATGGCCGTGCTGACAACACGGGCCACGTCCTGATCGGCCCAGCAGCCAGTGGCATGGGCATCACCCACTGGAACCAGATGCTGGCCACGCTGAGGAAGCCTGTGTCCATGTGGCACCCACTGCGGAGGAATTAGGCTGCTGGCGGGGGCACCCTGCACACCTTGGGACCCTGTGCCCCAATGCCAGCTCTGCCCTGGCCACAGTGGCCAAGTGCCACTGTCTGGAGGTGAAAAGTCAGAGATGGCCAGAGCATCCTGCTACCAAAAGCCTCCACTGGGAGGAGGAGGATGGAGAAAATCCTGTCCGCACCTCTCCTCATCCGCATGCGCTGGGGGCTGCTGAGGGACCTGCCGAAGACGAACCAAAACCAGCAAAATCCTCCTCAAACTGCTGTCTGGTGCCAGCCACAAGCTCCTCAGCATCCTGCATGCCCTCTGCTGGGCCCCCAAAACCAACGGTGACCCCAGATGTGGCCTCTGAGGGCTTCTGAGGGGACATGGGATTCTTTGGAAGGATTTTTGGCAAGCGAAAACAGAGAGGGGTGATAAAGTGTTGGCATGGTGCAGTTTCTCTCAGCATGTGTGGTCTTTCTGTTGGGTTTCAGAGGGGTTTCAGTGCACTGTACCAGGGCTGAAACTCTCCAAATTCCAATGAAAAAGGGAAAAATAATAGTAGAAAAAAAACTTGTTGTTATATATCTCTTTTTTTCTTCCATCATTTTTCTAGCAGTGTCAGTTTCTGCTTTCCTACTGGCTGCCAAGGGGTGTCTGTCCCCAAATGTCATGGGTTTGAGGACAGGTCCAGGCTGAATCATCCCCTAAAGGCTAAATGTGGTCACCCCAAACCCTTTTCCCAGCTTAATTAATCCCGTGGATTCCCTAGCAGCAGGGCAGCTCTACAGAAATAGGAAACACCCCCCAAATTTTGTATTTTTAAGCTTCACAGGGAAAGGAGAGAAAAAGCTCTTTAGATGCCGTCTGCTCATGGGCTCCCAGCCCAAACAAGGTCTTCTGGGTAAGATCTGCTGCTCTGGGGAACCAGTTCCCCCTGTTTTCCGGAGGTGAACAGATGGAGAGATGTGTGGGGCAGAGGATGCCCTGGGGCCGTGTCCCTCAGCTTTTCCCAGTCTGCAGGTTGCCAGCAGGAAGCCAACAGGGAAACTGGGGCTCTTTGGGGGCTGTTTGCCAGAGTGGTGGCTGTTTGCCAGGGTGAACTGGGGAGGGGATTTTGTTCCGTGAATGGTTTGAGCTGAAAATAAACAAACGTGAGTGAGCCATTCAACCAGATTAAAGACAACATCATGGTAGTACCCTGAGCTGGCACCAATTTTCCTCTCTGCTCCTCTGCCTGGCTTTTATTTTGCAATTCCCCTACATAGGCTTCTTCCCCTTAGTTCATAGGTGCCAAGATTTCCTTCTCCCACATGCTGGCTCTTCCTCCTCCTCGCTCCTCCCTCCAGGAGCCCCCATCTGCCACTGTCCCTTGGCCCTGGGACCAGGGTACAAACCAAAGCTGTGCTCAGAACAGCTCTGCTTGGAATTGCCAGTGCAGTTTGCTGATGGATGAGGAGAAGGTTCTGTTGTGGGCTTATGCTGTTTTTTTGTGTGCGTATGGACATTAGTGCACTGGGATCACAGTGGGAGAGTGGTACCCAGGGCTTTTCACCGCCCACAGACATTTATTTTTTGCAGTAGCAGAGAGAAATGTCACAGTGACAGCTGATTGCTTTCAGTGTTTTAATATCCGTCTTTATTGGCATGCTGCAGCCTCTCTGTGTACATCCTTTACTTTGTCAATAAGGATAACTGGGACAAATGAAAGTGCTCTCCTCCATCTGAGGTTCAGTGAGGCCCCAGTGCCTATATGTTCAGCAGCTATGGCACTGACTCCATGCTGTCTACCACCTACAACAAGAGCTCCCATTTTCCACCACTGTTTAGCAGCATCTTTGCTTTATGCAGTCCGATCTGTTGGCTTCAAGTACCCAGAAAATCAGCTCCTTCACTTCTCCTTGCCTTTCTTCTTGCTCTTGCGCTGGTTGGTCAGGTCGCTGAGCTTCTTGTCCAGGCGGCGCTGGAGATGGGCTCTCTTGGCAGGGTCCAGGGATTTGTCCTTGGGGCTGCTCCCAGCGTACAGAACGCCTTCCCTGCTGATCCACTGCCGAGCGTGTGCCTTGGCCTTGTCCCCGCAGCCGTGAACCTAGGGAGAGAGGGGACAGTGGTGGAACTGCGTGTGACATGGTGGGATGTGGGCTGTGAGCATGGTGGTGATGGGTTGATGGTGGGACTTAGAGGTCTTCTCCAACCTTAATGATTCTTTGAATCAGCTGCTTCTGCTGGAGCCCAGAGCTCCTCTTCCACCTGCTCTGCATTTCCTGAGTCAGTTGAATCACAGAACATCCTGAGTGGGAAGGGACCCATAAGGAAAGGATGAGGAAGTGGGGGGAAAAACACTTGCTCAACAGGGGTTCTGGCTCCCTTGAGGTGGCTCTAGGTAAGTGCTGACCCACACCAGATTCAGGTGTGGGTAAGAGATCCTTGGTTATTTGACACTAAGGCCTGATAATATGCAGAAAAAGGGCTGAACTTTGAAAAGTAAGAAAAACTCATTGATGTGGATTGTACTCCTGCAATTATTTCTCATTACAATTCAGCAGGGAGAGGTGATTCTGCAAGAAATAAATTTATATCCCAACCAGCTTGTGAATGACCATAAATACAACTATTCTTTGCCATGGAAACAGATAGTACTTGACAAGGGGAAAATCTATGCTGAGGATTTATAGGTCAGCTTGCTAAATGTTGCTAAGCCCCGGGAGGCAAAGAGCTGCGCTTGGGTGACACAGGATGAGGAGTGGTGGGAGCAGGAGGCCATGGATGAATGGAAGCTCATCACCTCTCAGCCATGTCCACTCTGACTGCAGGGCTGAGGCCTAAGGCTGGCTCACCATGAAGCTTCCAGCCCTGCAGATTGAACCTACTTGTCTGCTTCAGCACCAGAATGGAAATGCCAGACAATAGGAAGGGTGGGCAAAAAGCAAAGGGTGGAGGGGGAGAGAGAAAGCTCTCAGGAGAAGCTCTGCAGAACCTCCATGTGACAGCCTCTTCTACCTTTATAAAAACATCTGACAATGATGGTTTGGCATTAAGCTCCCTGCAAGGAAACCTTGCCTGCAGAGCTCTCACTTAAAGCCCTTCTGCTGGACGCATCCTGCTCCTCTCCAGCCCCTGGGCAGCTTTCTGGCGCTGTGCATACCTCTGGGATGTGATGGTTGAGGCAGTACCGCCTGTTGCAGTGTGGGCAGAAGTGGCCCAGGGTTGTGACACTGGCTTTGCAGTGGGGGAAGCCACAGGTGTTGTCAGCTTTAACGGCAGCAGAAATCAGAGCGTCTATATCTTCCTCTGATGCACTGTCTGCTGTGGTTTTAGCCACTGTTTTTCCTAGGTAGAGGGCAGAAGAGATGCAGAGGTTTAGCAAACCCAAATAGCTCTGAGACCCAGGCAGTGCAAAGTCCTGGAGCTAGTGTATACAGTGACAGAGACTTTGTGGCACTCATTGTGACACTGAACTCTGGCTCATGCTCAAAGGCACAAGTGGGAACTGAGGGTCTCCCTTTGCTAGAAAATGGCTGGGGGAGAGGAAGGGACCACACCTGGCTGGGACAAGGATTCTCAGCTCTGATTCACCCCCACCTCCATGTTTAGGAGAGGCAAGTACCTCTCAGCTCTCTCCCCATGTTTGAGAGCTTCCAGTCAAACTCCTGCTCCTATAAAGTGAGGGACCTACCTTTGCAGTCGCTTTTGTCTTTCTTCCTGCTGCTGCTGCCCCGAGTGCCAGCGCTGGACTCTTGCTCTTTCTTCGCCATCTCCTCCTGCCTGGCCTTCTCCCTCTGAAATCTCTCCAGGTGCAACCTTTTCAGGTCCACTTTCCCTGAGCACTCACTTCTTCCTCCTGGCTCAGCAGGAGCTGGAGCTTCCCCACTAGAGTCCTGTGGCTGAGGAGGGGGCTGCTGTTCCCTGGGGGTTACAGCTCGGGCAACCACAGCCTGACCAAGCTCCTTCTTGCGAATGCTGATGTAGCGGTCTCTGCCCTCCCCGGTGCTGATGTGCTGCAGCCCATGCTCCTCAGCCAAGAGGTGGACCAGCATCCGGTCGTGTGGACTGAGAGATGAGGGGAAGTCCAACTGCGTCTCACCACTCTCCAGGAAGGCTTCCAGCACAGCTTTAAATTTGTTTGTGCCAGCTTTTGTCCCCGGGCTCTCCTTCCCAGGTCTACTTGTGCTAGAAGAGCAACGTGCTTCTTGTTTTTGAGGAGCTGCTTTAGCTGCTGTTGCTTTGGGCTTCCTCCCTGCAGCTTGCTGCGGTTTGGGGCTGGGTGCTGCAGGGGCCTTTGTGCTCTGCTGCCGCTCTCCTCTGTGGGAGTAGTTTTCAGGGACAAGGTCATCGAGGTACTCAAAGGCCGTGCGCACCTGGCCGTGCTGCCTGAAGTGCTCCAGCAGCCGTCCCAGGAAGGCCTGGCTACCCACTGTGTGGCTGTCGCAGATGATGGCCACGTGGCGCCGGGCACGTGTCACCGCAACGTTGATCCGTCGGTCCTCAGCAAGAAAACCCACCTCGCCTGCAGGAAAACCAAGAGGGAGTGAGCAAACAGAGGCTAGAGAGTCTTCTTGGGGCTGGTGTGGTGCAGGGCTGGCTCCTGCTCTCATGACGACCAGTTGGGAGCCACAGTGGGGATCCTCAACCATCCCAGGTTCAAGGCATGTGGGCAGGAGAAATGCTCCCCAGGTGCTGCTAGGTGACCTAGGGCATGAGATCAGGCTGAGAAAGGCTCACCTGGAGGCAGAACTGCAGGTACAGTGCAGGAGGCACTCTATGCAATGCCCCCTGACTGCCCCCAAGCCATGCACACAGGGCTGATTTTAACAGCAGCTTGGCAAGGTCTGCTGCTGCTCTCAGGCTATTTTCTCAAAGAGAAGCAGTAAGAGCTAGCGAATGCCAAGATGACTCAGTGAGGCTCAGCTACTGAGAGGGGTAGTGGAGGTAGCTTGAGAGATTCCAGCCCCTGAGGATAAAGAGAAGGCCAGTGGGGAAGAAATTGCTTTCTCCTTTGCTGCAGTGACCAGTCTGGCTTTTTGCACGCAGTCTCTGATGCAGCAAAAGGGTTTCCTGCTGGATCTGTAACGGCTGCAGAGGAACGGGCATCCCCTGAGCTGATCTACGTGGTTACAACAAACTCTCCTGGGTGTCAGGCTGCTACCAGCATCTCTCGTGGCCCACAGAGAACAGAGCTCTGCCTGGACAGCACATGGAGCCTGCTTGTCATGCATGGGAAGAGGGCTGGAGTCATTGCTGAGGACATGGGCTCCCACTGAGCCACCAGCAAGGTGAGGTGAGTCACTGTGAATAAGGACTATTCTTAGCCCTACACTCCACCTCCATCCTCCCCCCAGCGCTGCTTTTCCTGCTCCAGGCTTTCTTTAAAAAAGGCAGAAAACACCTCCCCCTTCAATGTGTCCTTTCCCCCTTTTTCTTTCTAGACATCAGCACTCCTGGCACATACACAGTGTCTCATCCTCAGTAGCATTAGTGCAGGAAGGGACGTCTAGTTGAGGATGTGAAAAGGGGCAGAGGTGCTTCTCAGCACAATCCCACATGTGCCCTCTGCATGAGCTGCTGCCTCAAAACCCTTCAGCAGCTTTTTTCCAGCTATTAACTCCCACTGCAGTCACTGATAGCAAAGAACTCGATTTTCTGCTCTAGATTTTGCTTCCAAAAGGAGCATTTTCTGCGCACGACTTGTGATGCCAGCTTTCTTCACTCTTCACTCTTTCTTCACTTTCTTCACTCTTCAAGCCCCATCTAATTTCTGCCTTTTTCTCAGCGCTTCATTAACCACAGTGCCAACCTGACATGTACCATACACAGGATTCCAGTTCAATAATTTTTGAGGTTGCAGGACTGTACCTAGCATGGGAACCTTTCTCTGCAATCCTGAAAGCAGATGTCGATTTAAAAATAATGAGAAGAAATAAAGCTGAAAAGAATCTTACCACTAAACTCATTCAGAGTGAAATGCTAGAGACAGTCAGAATTATACTTGGCAATGTATTGAGTGACCCATTCCTTCCCCATTCCCATTCTTCCCCTTCTCTAGCAGCAAGTTCTCACCTTTCCTGTTGGATCTCACGAATGACAAGATCACGGCCTCTTTCTCTCTGCCTTGGAAACCATCAACTGATTTAATCTCTAGCTCAGGGTACCTGTGGCAAAGGTGCTCTCTTAACATATCCACCTGATAAAACATGAGAGAGGTGACTTAGAGAGAGAAGTGCAAAGGGAAAAGCATTAAAATGGCATTATTTGGAACAGCCCCTTCCTCTCAAAGGCAAAAGGATGAGTGCTTGTGTCTCCCAAGTGCTGACTCCTGATGCTGGGAGTGGAAAATACCTCTCAGAAAACACCACCTCCCTCAAACGCCTCAACTTTGAGAAGGTGGCCACAATGACTGATCATATAATTTGCCTCTGCTGCCTTCTGCATTCCTCTCTCTGAGAGTACTTTGGTATCGCTCCTGGAAGTGTCTGAATCCACTCTCGTATGTGTGAAGAAAGAGAGGAG